CGCCCCTCCGCATCCGGCGCGGTACGTGCAGCTCCAGTCTCACGCTGTGCCCCGCTCCCCGCCCCAGCCCTTCCAGGCCCGCGCGCCCCCGCCACCTTGTAGCGATCTCTGAAGGCTCTGCATGTACTTGACGCTCAGCTCCAGGATGTCCGCCTTTTCCAGCTTGCGCTTCCGGATCTGCGGGGCAATATACAGGGCTCTTAGCCGGAAGGCCGAAGCAGAGAAGGGATCGTGGAGAGCGCCACTACCCCTCCTCCTCCCTTGTCCCACCTGGTGCGAGCAGTGCTTCTCCAGCAGCGACCTGAGCTGCTCCAAGGACACGTTGATGCGCGCCCGGCGCTTCTTCTCCATCAGCGGCTTGGAGATCTGCCGACCATTTAGGAGTCAGAGCCCAGCCTCCCCGCTCTCCACCCCTCCAACCAGAGTGGGAACCCCACTCCACGCCTTTTGGGGACTCCAGACCTTTCGGAAGCTGACGGTAGGGCCTCTAGGGGTTCCCCGGGAGGTGGGCTCCGTGCCCATATTGCAGTATCCGTGCCAGCAGGACGCGGGCTTCCTTTAAAGCGGGCCTTCGTTTACATGTCAATGAGGTCCTCTAACTCGAAACCCCCAAGGGGGAGGGACGGATGGGGGCAAGGGGCGGGGGAAGGTCCCCACCTCCCGTCCTGGGTCCTCTGCTGCAGCCCAGCTGCCTCTGGCCTTCAGGCGCCCTCCTCCCTCCCCAGGGCCCTCTGTGCCTTTCTGCCTTTTCCCTCTCTTGCCCCCACCACTTTGCAAGTCAGGGGTCCCCTCTCAGACCCATCTTGCCCTGTAGGTTCCAGCCACTGTAGGTTTGGGCCTTGCCTTTAGGTCACCTGTTAGGTCCTCCCGGCCCCTTACTCTGAGCACCCCGAGGCCCCTAGTATCTGTGACAGAGGCCCTCGGGCCTGATGGCGATGTGAGGCGAGGAGTGTGGGCCGAGAGGCCGCATTAGTTGCCCCAATGTCTGGACAATGCAGTGATTTTCTGCCTGTAGCTTCTCAAAGCCATGCACAGGCTGGGCCTTCTGGGGCAACCAAGCAACGAGTGTCCCATTAAAGTGTGCAGCCCGCCCGCAGGACCACAGTAGGCCTCTGAGGACCCAAGCTAAACTTGGGCCAAATGCCACCCACACTCCATGGGCCTTCTGTGGGTCCCAGATAGACATGGAGAAGCCCTCTGGGCCTCGGGAGAGTCCCAGCCTGCACTTTAGGGGCCACATCTGCACCCACTTCCATTACTGAGGCTGCGGCTGGAGACCCAGGGAGCTGATGGAGGAGGTGCCAGGGCACCTGGCCCCGGACAGGCCGGATTGTCAGTATCCCCACCTGGTTCCAAGAGGCTGACTCCAGCAGCTTGATAGGAGGGCTGAGCCCCAGGGGACCTTGTAAACCTCAGCGCCTCCTTTTGGAGGGACTGGGGCCTAACTTTGGGGTTGTAAGGTGGAGTTCAGGACTGTGTCCCCTGCGGCTGTGAGGCTGACATCAAAACTGAAGGCGGTCTGCAGTTGAGCTCTGTGGCTTAGGGCGGACCCAGTGACCTCAGTATGCGGAGGGGAACCTGGGTCTCGCGTGGGCCTTCAGCTCTGCTGAGGAGTCCTGGCCTCCCAAACCGACCGATGCCCTCTGGCAGAGTAGCATAGAGAATCGCGCCCCGCCCTCCCCTTTCAGGTGGTGCCCGGGCTGCGGCTCGGGGACACTGTCCTGCCCCCGTCCCGGGGC